ATCAATTGTTATGGCATTCTGATATTTACTACATTTCCCCGATATCCTCAATCCGATATGGATTGGTCATCCAATATTTCCTTGATATCCGATATTTAAAACATTGCTTATAAGTAAACATTGAATAAGAACTGTCACAGATATACCAAATGGCTAGTAATTTGCTCCAGTCATATGTTCAAGTCTGAATAATTAGTAGTTAACAAAAAATTGAAAGTCATATATTGCCCAGAAGCATATACTTCCATCATCCTGATCAAATATGTATGTGTAGAAAATATCCCAAAACAAGTATTGTTTCTGAATTTCCTTACTCAACTGTAGGGAGTCTAGAATAACCATTAATATGCTGTCCTTGAGGAAGCTTCAGTCATATTGCTTTGTTATTTCAGGTGGTGACCAGTGTATTGCTTTTGAACACCTTAAGAACAGAAAGTATTAATGCTGGTGACCTATCTGATAGTGTTCCTGTAACTTTTATGGAATATTTGTGCTTGAAGTTGGTAGAAAATATATGCTGCGTAGTCTAGCATTACACTGATTGGTTCAGAAGCTGCGATGTGCATACAGGGGCCAGGTCCAGATTCTCGCATAGTTTACATCGATGGTGCATTTGATCTGTTCCATGCTGGGCATGTAGAGGTAAAGCTGTGCTAGTTTCTATATTTAATAGCATACAAATCATTTTGCATTGCCATTTAAAGTTAGGTATATACTCACCCATGGAACATATCTTCATATTTTTCCTAGTTGCTTGATCTAGATTATGATGTATCCATTTCCCAGGTTGTCTACGAAGTAGAACAAGCAATTTGAAAACCTTGAAGTGACATTCAGCAGAAATCACAGACAACTAATATTATATCTAGTTGGAGCTGTTAAAGAGCTCATGTCTACATTTATTTGCTCACTTGTATCCGTCATGGTCAAGAATTTATGAAAAAGCTAACGTGTTGTTTAAAAACAGAAAGCCTAAAAAAATTAGTAACATTCAAAAATTGAAAGTAACAAGAGACTTGAATAACTATGTAGCCAAGGGAAACAGAGAAGTTCAAATTTACTAGAAATATCTCCATTCTTAGAACCTTATTGTATGCTGCTTTTATACTTGCCTTAATTTCTGATATCTGTTTAATTCTTTTTCCTTTTTCCCTAAAGTAAACAAGTGCTTGGTAGACCAAAAACCCATGTCTTTTTCGGACTCTTTTTCCCTAAAGTAAACAAGTTCACTGATCTCTTGTAGACCTTTCTTTTCCTATTTTTTCCTTCCCTTTTCCCCCTTCCATATCAGTCTTGCAGACCTTCTATTTGAAGAATGTCAATTGGCTGAAAGGTGAAACCACACATGTAGGAATTGAGTCATCAATGCTGGCGTAGAAAAGTCTCTTTTTTGGTTCTTTATTATGTTCCAAGTATGTGTGTGACAAGCGCGCGTGTGGATGCATGCACACATGCACATGTTTACATAATATCTTCCATCATTGTAAATGAAAAAGTAACTGGTGCAAGCAGGGATAAGGGTGCAATAAGAGACAGTTTGGATACTGATCCAAAAGCTATTCAAAGTTCAGATACAGACTAGGAGAGGTTTGTACGGTTTGCAAGCTTAAGGTCTTGAGAGAAACAAGAGATGGATTAAAATGATGTACTGGGGGGAGATTGATGCTAATTGAGTTCTGGTTAAGGGAGCAATTGAAAGGCCGTTCAGGTTAGAGGCCAATCTGTTGGACAAGAAAAAGTAAGCAGATTTTGGTTCGAAAGGGCTTTAATAGAACAGTAGCAATGTAGAAAATGATAAAATAGCCAAAAAGTTGATATATTGACACCTTAGTATTATTTTATATCCAATGTTACGTTGAATAAGACATGATGATAGGAGTTATTCTTCCTCAGTACTTAGAGTTTCTTTTTGTGTATTTACCAATGATCTTCTAACAATTAAAAGAATTGTTTTGAAGTCCTTTACCACTAATTAACTCAAAATACTAATTTAAGTACAGATCACTTTAACGACTTGAGCGGACTCAACTGCATTAAATTCAAACATGTTGAGCTGAATCATCGTCTTGATTGAATAATGGACATTTTCCCCATATTACTTATATTCGACCTATTATCCGTGTTGGGTTTCTTAAAAATTAATTCTGTCATATCTTCTATCATTGAAGCTACTGGAAAATTTGTATCTGCTGTTAAATTGTGATCATTGTTTATCTAATGTTTGAGTTCTTGATTTTGATATAAATTGCTAGTTATAATTGATTCTGCTTCGACCTTGTTAACAGAACCTTCTACAGATGCAGTTCTAGAGCTGCAATTCCTTGGTAGATGCTGACAAATAAACAATGTAAGCAGTTTTAACGTGCATGGTCCCTGCTTATCTTCTGCTTCTTGTCGGGTATGAAGTCGATCAGCTGATTGTTTTAATAAGCTAATTTTGTTTATGTGTAAGAGGTGCACACCTAGCATAAAACATTTTCTATATGCTCTTCCATGCACATAATTTTTTAAAGTGTTGTGAAACTTGTGATATTGGTATTCTATATCAAATAGTCTGTCCCATATATTTGGAATTATACAAGTCATTCCTAGTCAGCCTGTCTCCCGACATGTCTTCAACATCTGGCCAATGTTGAGGCTATCTTAGAACCATCAGCCTACTTCTGTACTCTTTTCAATTCCAGGTCTTAACTAAGATGCTTATCTAATTGTGTTGAATGTATTTGATTTAATTCATTGCTGCTCTTGAATATTGTATTTGATTTTTTAGAGCTCAATATCTTATCAAGTTGTACTCTTTTGATGTAGATATTGAGACTTGCTCGGGAACTAGGAGATTTTCTACTTGTGGGAATTCACACTGATCAAACTGTAAGGTATCTTTCCTGTTCACTTTTTATTCATTTTGTTCCCCCATTTTCGTCGACACAAGGTTTTCTAATTGGTAAATACTAGACTTAGAGATATGTATCTTCTCTTTTGCTTCTGTTCTAAGAAATCTTCTTTGCCGTTAAACTCTTCACGTGGCCTGTTTCTGTCTGTTTTGAGGCTTCAGACTATCCATGTTATAAACTAATCAAAAGATCTTTCCTTTGTCTTATAATTTAGAAATGGCAAGCAATGTTGAAAATAGCGATAACGCATAGCGTAACGCTTACCCCCGGTTAGGTTACAATAGCGATAACGCATAGCGTAACGTAGGTTAAATAATTTATTATTATTTAAATAATTTATAGATATATAACATTCAAAATACTCAGATTTAAAAATTATATTTACAAATACCCATAATTTAAGGGTTTATGTGCAAATCAGCCAATAAACAAAAGAAAAAAATCCACAAATTATATTTACAAATACCCATAATTTAAGGGTTTATGTGCAAATCAGCCAATAAACAAAAGAAAAAACCCACATCAGCCGTCAACTCCTCCGTTATAAAAATCTTCTTTCCCACGCCGTCAACTCCCCCGATCTTATCCTCTTCCCTCATCATCTCTTTTATAAAAAAAACCCACCCCATCCTCACCTCTTCCCTCATCGTCTCCTTTCCCCCTTCCTCTCTGTCTCTACAAACCAACCCTCTCTCTCTCTCATCAGTCTTCGTCACCGTGTGTAGCGGCCCAAGAAAACGAGGACGAGGACGATGGGGATCTGAGACGAAGACGAGGAGTCGAGGACGAGGGCCTGAGACGAAGACGAGGACGACAAGGACCTGAGACGACGATGACGACGAGGGTCTGAAAGCCTGAGACGAAGACGACGACGATGACGACGATGGTCTGAAAGCCTGAGACGAAGATGACGACGAGAGCCTGTGACGAAGATGACGGCGAGGACCTGAAACGAAGACGGACATTAGGTTAGAATCTGGGATGCATCTATTTAATTTTTAGGGTTTTGTTGAATTTGAAGTTAATCACAGCCTTGATTTTTTTTTTAAATAAATCATAGCCATTAATCAAATAACGCAGGCTAACAACGCTACGAAAAAACACCTCAAAACGTACGCTATGCCAGAAATAGCGTACGTTATTTGTGATCTGCGCTATTTCACAACGTTACCTCGCAAAACGTACGCTATGCCAGAAATAGCGTACGTTATTTGTGATCTGCGCTATTTCACAACGTTACCTCGCGTTTATCCACCGCCACGTTACGTTAAACGCTATTTTACGTCTCTTAACGCGTTTTTTTCAACATTGATGGCAAGGTTGTTATAAGTGGCCTTATTGCTGATGCAGGATCTTCATGATCTTATGTGTTAAAATTTTTTATAATGGAAACACCCTTTATTCGTTTTGCTTTTCGAACGCATTGTGGTTGATTATGGGAAATCATAGTTTTAAATATTACAGACATGGCTCAATATATCCCCGATATATCCTTTTACAAGGCTTGTGATGTGAAACGGGACAGAGGGTCTATCAGAATCAGCGATTTAAATCAAATAACACATCGTTTCACCAAATTTCATGATCTTTGACAGGAATTAAATTCAAAACAACTAATGTGACAAATGGATTTAACAAAGTTTGCATCAACAATTATGAATAATTCCCATCTCAATCAATTTAATTGCAATATTTATTATCATGCACAAGTTCTACAATCAATATCAAAATTTAACAGTCACATGCTCAATTACTCTCAACTCGCAAATATAATCTAAACAGTGAATATATGATAAGAGTTTAGAGATGAAATACTCATGCAATTAACTAATAAAATGAGGTTAACAGAAAAATAATTTGAAAAATAAATCACAACTAACCCACGAGTTGTTACTCTGCAAATGTGCTTCGGTAGGTTCGACGACTCACTATCGGGCTCGGGTGCTCGTCGATGCGGGGGAATGGGGTGGCTGCAAGAAGAAAATCGAGAGCGGAGACCTATTTGAAGTCGATGGGGACGAAGAGGAGGCGCCCATTGATTGATCGGAAAAGTGGGCGAGGGCTGGCGGCTTGTTAAGTGGAAGTCGAGAAAGAGTGACTTTGGAGGAGAAGAGAGGGTGTAGGTGGTGCTTGTGGAGGAGGAGAAGAGGGGGTGTTGGCGGCGCTTGTGGAGGAGAAGGGATAGGGGTCTTGGTGGCGCTTGTGGAGGAGGAGAAGGAACAGGAGGCCGGCCCTAGGTTTTCACACCCATGAGGCTTCACACCAACAAATTCAGGTAATAAAATTTCATTCAAATCTTCATCTCCTTTCAAAGACCTCATATAACCATATTTATAATGAAAAACTACGTGCACACAACGTGCAATAAAAATAAAAAAAAAAGATATAGTCTAATCTCTCAATAAAACCTTACCAAAATAGAAAAATCCCTCAAATCTCTCATAATTAAAAACTAAATTAAGAGCTGATCAAACTTGCCAAATCTTCCTTATTCAAAACTAAAATAAAAAAACCAAATAAACAAATATGGAAAACTTTGATTATTGTCCTCATCAGCTTGCCATGACTGATATGGTCTCTAAATATTCTTTACGCTTTTTGATATTTTGGATGATATATCCCCGATATGACTGATATATCAGCCAATATGTTGGTCGATATATGCTTTTATATGGCTTGTCGCAAAATAATATACTACGTTTGACAATTTTTGGGCGAAATATCATAATTTTCCTATAATATCAAATGGCATTTTGGCCTAAAAAATCAGACCAAATGTTGCAACGTTGATTTGTACTTTTGTTTGTTATACAAAGTTGATTAGTGATCCTAAACATATATTATTTACATTTGTATGTTTAGATTTCCGTAAGTATGTAGAGATTATATTTTAGTGCATTATACTATATACATTTTAGTGCATTATACTATATACATTTTAGTGCATTATACTATGTGAAAACATCCATTATAGCATTCCGATATTGACCACATATCCCCAATATCCGCAATTTGCTATGAATTTTGGCCATTCGATATTTCCCTGATATCCGATATTTAAAACATTAGGGGGGAATTACCTTCATTTCACAACTAAGATCCATCTCAGTTACTTCCCCTATGATGACAGCATTGGGGTGGAGGGGATGTCGTTTGAAGGATCAGTATATTCTTAATGGATAATGTTAATTTTTTTTTCTTTTGCTTTTCCTGGAGAAGAATAAGATAGATATGCAAGTTGCTGAAGGTTTCATTCTTCTGAGTCAGTGTTGGCGTAATGATTTCTTCAAAAAAAATGTTACTGATAAAGATATCCTAGAATTGACCAATTGTACTTCCCGTTGTTAGTCACATGGTTAATATCTGGTCACAGAAGTTACCAGAAGCAAGCTTACTCCCCGATTCACCCCTAGATGAGAAAATATATGATAGTGAAGCTTTCTATCACCATGCGTGATAGAGATATTCATATACTTGTTAAATTCGCTTTGTGTCATCTGATCATATCAGCAACTTGATATCTACTCTCTTACATCCTATCCAAGTCCATTATAAAACTTGATATAACATGTATATAGAATTGGGACGAGTAAAATAAGTGAAGAAGGATTCAAGAGTGAGTTTGCCGGACATCATAGTTTCTTCAATCCTCAGTAGGAATCAGTTTTTTTTTTCTTCCTTGTTAATGTACCCAAGAACGATCCTCGAGAGTTAGACTTGTGGCAATTTGAACAGTAGCTTCCTAATGCACAATATGGACCTAAGTACATCAGTAGCATCTACAAATGGTGACAAAGTACAACAATAGCATCTATAAATGGTGACTAAGAGGAGAATTGTTGTGGAGGAGGGGGTTTATCTGCCTAACCTATTTTCTTACGAAAATAATAGGAAATGAGATGACAAATTGGATTATCAAATCTCTCCTCTGATCATTGTAATTGTGCATAAGAAAGAAGAATCTATGTTAAATATTTCTTAAATGCTTCTTCCTTTGTAAGCTATGTTTTAACCAAGATACCATTGTGGAAAAGTTAATAGTTTATTCTACAATATGCAGTTCTACTAGAGGAGCGCATCGACCAATCATGAATCTTCATGAGAGAAGCTTGAGTGTTTTAGCTTGCCGTTACGTTGATGAGGTGATCATTGGTGCCCCATGGGTGGTTTCAAAAGACATGGTTAGTAATATTCATATATAAATATAAATATAAATATAAATAAATAAATAAATAAATAAATATATATATATATATTATTATTATATAAATAATATATTATATATATATATTATATATATATATATATATATTATATATATATATATATAGGAGACGAGAGAGGAGAGAGAGAGAGAGGAGATGATCATATGTCAACTTGAGTGGATGTTCACAAACTTTTTAGCACTCATTTATATAAGAACTCTTCATAATCTTGTCATGGATCCTAGGCAACATCAATGGCTAAAAAGTTGGTGAGTGGATGTTCACCAAAACTTTTTAGCCACTCTTTTATAAAAAGCTCTTCCATATCTTCATGGATCCCTAGGCAACATCAATGGGGTACAAAAGTTTGGTGGTAACTTTTTTGCAATCTACTAAAGTGACACAAGTTTCTGCTCTCTCTCTATATCATTATATTATATATTAGTATATATATATATCATGATATTATAGAGACAAACTGTGTGTCAATTAAGTGACATCCACGCGAATACTTCTTCATTCATTAGATGTTTCCTAGGGATCTTGCATGATATGAAGTGACTTTTTATATATATATGGTGTGATAGAAAGTTTGGTGGACCTATTCCCTATCCACTTAATAAGTTGATAGATCTTGCTCTATATATATATATATATATATATATATATATATAATATATATATATATAATATATATTATAATATATATATTATTATATATCATTATTAGTTTGTTCTTGTGTGTTTATTCCACTTGTACCTGCAAACTATCTTAATTCATTCATGAATGTGTTTCAAATTAAAAAGAAAATATAAAAAAAGAAGAAATACTGATCATCATATTATAAATAGTTTTGATAGAATGTTCATTTTAGTGTCATTGTCGGTTGGATAGCCTTTATGTGCTTATAAAACTTAGATTTGCTTCTGATTTAGAGTTGAAGGGGGATAGCTTTGTTATTTCCAGTTGCTTATAGGTCCATGTTCATGTGTACCTCATGGAAGAGTTTGGTTTCGCTATTTCAGCCATGCTTGTGCATGTAGGCGTCTTTTGCGCATGCTATGTTCCTTTGTATGCTATGCATTATGCCATGACACAAAATGATATAGAATTCTACATACAGCTCTATATCTTAACTTATTTTATAAAAATCTAGCATCATTAATTTAGCTCGTAAGCCTTAAGAAATAATTTTTACACTGCACACACTTACATATACTACTAAACTAAAACTCAAGACTGTTTTGCTTGCAAGGTACCAATAAAACTAAGTGAAAAAAGAATTTGACTTAAACTTTTTGATATGTCCTCTACTTCACTTACTTTCCATTTTTTTACGTCTCCCTGGTGCATTATGTTTACAAGAGAATCCTTTAGATGTTTTTTCATAAGATGCATATTAATTGTAAAGGCAAAAATTTGCATATATACACTCCAAAATGTTGTTCTTGATATTATTTACTTGCCATAATGTTATGTCACGTATAAAGTCCTGTATGAACTTCAGTCATTCAATGTTACACGGAAGGGGAAAAGTGGCATTTTAGTAACTCCCTATTGAAGACTTGTGATGGCTAATGAATTAGATCTCTTCCTACAAGCTCATCATGAATTTTCCATAAATTTGGGTTGAAGTATACTTTATCTCCCATGTCCTGTAACATTTTTTAAGAGCTAGCTTTGTTAATTGCTTTCTTGAGAGAAGGTCAAAGTGTTTATTAATTTAGAATCGTCTCCATTCTTGTTCCCTCCTCTTGCTGGAGGTTTGTAGAGACTGGACTTTGTCCGATAAATTCGTTTATCTTTGTCGATCAGAGGGTGATCGTTGCCCTTCCTATCTGGGTTATGTTTTTGTTCTCATTTGTATTTGGGGTGAAAAATGGATACGTGGTCATGTCACCTTTTCTTCTTTCCTAAACGTCCAAGGGTATGATGTTTGATTGCTCAGTATTGCATAAAATTCCTAATTTTAATGAGAGCAATAATTTGGTTATCTTTATTCATCTTTATTTTTTCTCTTTATTTTTTCTAAAAAATGATAACAAAAAGAATAACGTGTCTTAATTCTATTTTGCAAGTGCATGTTTTGGTTTTGTTTGTCCTCAAATTTTGTTGTTGAGTGATAAATAGATTCCTGGTTATGGGGTCATTGTTTTCTTGTCTAAGTGTACAAGAGTGTATGATGCTTGATTCCTTGCTACCATGAAAGATTTATAATTTTTGTGAGAGCAATAATTTATTTGTCTTGATCAATGTTTTATGTTTGCTTTGTTACTAAAAAATCAAAACAAAGAGTTTAAATGTGTGCTTGTGCTCACTTATAATTGCTGTCTAGAAATTCGTGCAAATTTTTATTGATCATCTTTGAGAAAATCCCCTTAGTTCTGAGAACTGACCTAGTGTAAGATATTTTTTGAAGATAATACCTGCACGAATGTAAACCAATGTAGGTAAAGCCAAAGTGCAAGGCCAGGCATAAACATGACTAAGAAAGGTCCAACTTTTTTTTATGCTTTTGTTTATAATTTTATTCAGCATTCTGGGCTGAAAGATGTTAAGTACACAAGGGTAACAACTGAGGACATGAATACTAACATATAACACAATTATTAATACAAGCAACTGCAATGTCAAATTGTCATGTACAATCTCAATCTCCAGTTAATTGGATCATCTATGGTTTTTAAGGGAGGAAAGAGGAAATAGTAGCAGTGGTAGAAATAACCAAAGAGAATAACAGCAGAATAGAAACACAAGCTCTGGAAATTTGAAAGGAAGTTAAGAGGGAAATTAGAGATTTAGCTGAAAAAAGCAGCAGCAGCAGATTGAAAGTAAAAATTATCATAAACAATGCAGTAGTTGTAGAGCGAGACGAGAAAAGAAAAAGGAGAGTTGGAGGAACTTTTATATTAAAAAACAAAGCAAATCGGAAGAAAGAAAAGGAAGAAGACAAAAATAAGAAAAAAAGAATAATAGAAAAGAAAAAAAGCAAAACAAATGAAAGGAACGAAAAAACAAAGGAAAAAGGAAAAAAAACATGCGTATTTAATTGCTGGCACCCCTCCATTGGTGAAACTATGGATTGCTAGCAGAAATTCAGCAAGTCAACAACGGGAATATTGCCTCCAACTGATGAAGAATACCCTAAACAACATGACAGTTTATGCAGCAAAACTCAAAAAAATCATAGGTGTAACCCGACTCCTTACAATATTCAATAGGGAATTTTGAATTTTTAACACTGCACAACTGGTTGTATGTATAACTGCCGTGCTATGTAAGGTGGCTGGTTCTATGTTCCCTGTGCCCAAAAGAAAACTTATACGTGCAGCACCTAGCAAGGGTGACGAGGCATCATGAGTATTGCGCACCACCTTGTGCCTCAGGCAACATCTTGGATGACCTGTGACCCTACTAGTATAAATTTGGAGCCTTCTTATGCACCCTTCCAAAGCTATTTGGATAAGAAAATCTTAGAAAACATAGTTCAAGCTTAATAAAAATATTAATAAACATAAATGAAAAGCTGCCAACTAGATACCGTTTGTGTTGGATGGTGTATGTCTGTGTGTGCGCATGTTTGTGTATAAAACATACATCACCTCCTAATATTGTGATTCTTTAGTATTCAAGCAGTCAGACCGTTCTGCATGTAAGATACATGATGCAGTTGTTTGTAGTTAAAAAAGGGTTTTTTTTAGAGAACCACACCTAACTTAGGTCCTATTTCACATTACTACCTTAATTACTCAAATTTCAGAAAATTATCCCTATCTACCATTCTCTTAACATAGAACCACCCATAATCTTTTCCATCCAACTTTCCATCCAAAAAGATTTAGTTTGATGATTTTACCCTTAGGTTTAATTTTGTTTGAATTCAGGGTATCAAAGTTAAATTTTGGGTATTTTTTGGGCAAAAAAGAACTTTGGGTTATTAAAGTGAAAATTTAAGTGACTGGTATTTTTGGATTAAAAACTTTGGGCTACCAAAGTTAATATGGGAAATAATTTGGGGTATCTAATTTTGATCCCAAAGATCAACAAAATTAAGCTTATGTAAGGGTAAAAGCGTCAAATTAAAATATTTTAGATGGAAAATTGGATGGTAAAGGTCATGAGTGGTTTTATGTTAACAAAATGGTAGATAGGGTGGTTTTATGAAATCTGAGTAGCTTAGGGCGGTAACATGAAAGAGGACCTAGGTTACAGGTGGTTCCTCCAAAAAAAACCCTAAAAAAATATAGAAAGCAGTAATCTAGATCTAACGAACCTACTCAAAACTGATTCTCAAGTGGGCTAGCTGCATCTTGGCTTGAATTTTATAATGTTGAAATTTATTAGATTTCATACTTTTCTCATGACATATTTAAATTTCCTACATTTGCAGATTACAACATTTAACATCTCATGGGTGGTGCGTGGAACTGTTACTGAAAACAGGGATTTTCTGAAGGTAATTTATCATGGTTTCTAGGTTTTTCTTCTATGATATGCCTGAACATCTGATAGACCTCTGTTGAGCTTTTGGTTCAATTTTCTAGGAGAAATCCGATCCATATGAAGTTCCAATGGAAATGGGTATATTCAGACAGCTGGAAAGTCCTCTTGACATCACAACTAGCACAATTATCAAGAGAATTGTTGCAAACCATGAAGCATATCAGGTAATCTTTTGGCAGTTCTATTAGTGTCAACAGTAACTTATGGGAATAGTTATTGAAATGTGGTAGATATGTTATTTCTGAGGATCTTGGGTAGATTTATTTGTGTGATTTATTTGCATGGTGTTTGTCGGGGGGATTTTTGGTGTTCAAAATCACAATCAAGAATGGGTTTCTTATCTGGATGCTATTGAATTGTTTGAGAGACAAGTAGTTCTAGTTTGTCAGGACATGTGTACTGATTGTAAGGAGTGAATTTTAGCCAAAGAAAAAGAAATTGGGGAAGGAAACAATTAAGAATGGGTTTCCACCCATTTCCTTGAAGAAGAGTCGCATCATCCAATCACAATGTGCCACATCATCTCACTGGGTTCAAGCTGTGAACCAAACAAAGAAAAGGAAACCATTATAGGAAATATATTTCCTATAAATATATTTCCTATAACTGCTTTCTTTGGTTTATTGGCCAACCAAACAGCCCCTTAAGAGATTAGACATAGTAATATGGTTCTCTAAGCTATTGTTATAACTTTCTAGCGTTAAGCCAATTGTTGATTTCTTATGAATGTTGGAACTTGAAGCCATATAACAGTTTTTTACATGAGGCAGACATTTTAAGAGTTCAACTGTTCGGATTAATTGTACAATTCTATTTGGACGCCCTGTTACCTGGGAACCATAATTTGCAAGGATTGTTAAGCTATGTTGTAAAGACACTTCTACAGTGAAGTCCAACACTGCTTTCCCATTCCTAGCCTGTGTCTACACTTCTCATTTCCTCAATCCTATATCACAATATTCAATTTACGACATTGTAAACTTTTTCGAGGAAATGCCTACATTCCTTAGTCCTGTAACACATTTGAGATGAGATCTTTATTTACTTACATTTATTTATCAACACTGTAGTGAAAATAGGCGATTAAAATATTGGCTACTATTATTTACCAAGACTATGAACTTCATACAAAGTTGAGAGCTAAGGCCTATATCCTTTTACCATTCACAAGAATATGTATGATATGTTTTAATTTATGCAATCATCGTATGCTATAAGAAATGTTACTAGAGTCTGGGCTTTTTGATGTATCAGTGTTTATATTTATGTATAACTCTCATTATTATATGACTCATTATTATATATAATTTTCTGGTGTCTTTTTGCGTTGGCCCTGTATTCAACTTTTTAAGGAAATCCTGTGTCTATGTTATGTTCATGGCGCGTGTCCGTATCCATGCTTCTCAGCATTTAAGTCAGTTTAAGTTTCAAATAAACAAAGCGTTCTGAAGACTTACCAAATTTCGCCACTTATGTGTATATTTCTCCACTGATGAAATAATTACCCTGCAATATTTTTTGTGGCGATATACTATGTACATAGTCATACCTATATCATATTACCCGTTGTGCAGAAAAGAAATGAAAAGAAGGAAGCAAGTGAAAGGAAGTATTATGAAGGAAAAACATTTGTGTCTGGAGATTGATTCGAAGGAAGCTGAAGTAGGTATACCCATTGAGGATGTCATACTTCTAACATTCACGGGAAATGTGCTTTTTCCAGCTTCAGTGGAGGATCCAAGTTTTGCATTAGTATATCAAATTGTATAGGCGGACCTAGAAGGTCTATATTATCAATAGCTGATGACAGCTAAGTATATGGAATCTAATGATTTTTCTCTCTTTTTTCCCCTTCTTATTCTCTGCTTTCCGTTTAACATTTACTGGCCATTTCTACCTCACCAGATTTTCTGTTATATTCTTGATTGTCTGACCTTCACATTTTTTTCCTTCTGGACGTGAGGAGGTATATAGTTGCATGTTATGGAATGAGAATCCAGATGTTTGATATAAGTTACCAGGCACTTTTGTTGTCTGGCACGATAATAATTTTACGTTGTCATGTATTTATATACACATATTGATTGTTGCATGTCACAATTTACCTGTCTCGGTACTTTTATTGTTTACTTAGTTTCTTATTTCCTACGTGCTGGGTAACTTATGTGTTGTATGGGAGTTTTATGAATTAGGCCTTTGTTATGCAGAGAAGTGCGGTAGTCTGTGGGAGATTTTTCCATCATACCATACGCATGCATTCAGGATTGTCTTTAAATTCCTGTGTGGATGACTAAACGTGTTGACATATTCTGTGACATAGGCTTTGTGTCTTGATTACATTAGTGGGCACGCAGATGTCTGAGAACAATGGTCTTATTGAGAGAAGGATCGTATGGTGCTTGCAATACCAACATATGGCAGTTGGAAGTCTTGAAGCTTCTCTTTTTAGGAACTTGAACGGAACACACATCGCACTGCTGCAAGATATTCCCCACATCTTTTGTGGTCTCTTTTGGTAAAGATTTCTCAACCTTCACTTGTGACAGTGATTGGGTGGAAACTGGGTTGGGGATTAGTAGTTAACATGAGATATCACTATTGGCGAGATTCTGTTCAATTATGGCATAATAATTCAATTATGGCATAATAAATAAAGTGAAGTTTAAATCAAATATTTGAGGATCCTTTTGACTCATCACAGTGAGTCATGCCAGGAACTGACCAATGTCTACTCATTAGTTCAAGTGCGAAGGACATGTCGGTTATTGTACGCATACAAGACTATCAATTTCACACCTTGAAGGGATTCTTAAATTAGACTTTTTGTTGCTTTCATGTTGGGACCTTTCTTTATACTTAGAGCTTGACTCTTTGCAATTAGAGTCCTAACGATCTACATGCTACACCCACTCAGCAATATGCTATCAGTATATGATGTCAGATCTCAAACTTCAATTAGCAGTATATGATGTCAGATCTCAAACTTCAATTAGCGTAGTGTAGATCTCAAACTTCAAGATTGGTAGGATCCTTTAATCTGTACACATTGTGCTCAAGTTCCTTGGCTTCGAAATATATTGGTTGGATCACTTTTTATAGTACTCTATAGATAAAAGTTGTCTCGATGTCCATATGGACTAGTTCAAGATTATTTGTCAATATCATACGAATAGGACCGATTCTCACCACCGGAGAAAACATCTCTTTAGGTAGTCCACCCTACTACTTGGGTGTACTCTTTCGCGATCAGGCGACCCTGCATCACTTGAATGTCCCGTTCTATTTAACCTTAAAAACTAGTTTGGTATTAGTGGTCTTGCATTCACTTGGAAGATTCACCAAGTCTCATACTTGCTTCTTCCTCAAGACCTGAAGCTCCCCATCCGTTGCCACTTTTCACTCTTTCACTACAAAACTAGAAATAGTATCATTATATGACTTGGGCACTGCAACAACATGTGATGCTATCATGAATATTTCCCTACTGATCTCAAACTATTGCCTTGGTACAAGTCCAGGAATGATCTTGGAGACTGTTAAGATCATGTAGATGGCTCCAAGTCATCTAAAAGTATCTTGCTCACATTATCCCCAATTGGTAGAGGAACCAACTCCTCTTCCATTGTTGGATTTACGACAGTCTCCTCAATCTTGTAGGAACCCAAATCTTAACCTGCTTCTCCTTTGTTAGGGAAATCCTCCCTAAGAAACTCACCATCCCACAGCTCTCTTGGTTATAGTCTCATCATATTGCTCACATAAACAAACCCATAACGTGTCTAAAATATTGTATGAAAATACACTTCAAAATTTTAGGGTCCAAACTTCTCATCCAATGAAACTTAGTATACAAAAGCAACATTCCCACATTGATGTAGTGATCCAACACGAGCTCTCGACTATCCATAAATCATAGGGTATCGACTATACCGAACTCAAAGGCACACAGTTCAGAATATATGTCATCATTAATAGGAAATCTCCCCAAAACCAAATTGATTGATTAGTATCAACTAACATATTCGGAACCACATCTCATAGAGTTAAATTCCTCATTACCGCAACACCTTTGTAGAAAAATATAGGATATCATCAACTGTATCACTTTTCCTTTCTCTTGACATAAGTTCCTAGAGCTTCCAAGATAAATACTCTCTCACAATTAGTATGCAAAGCCCTAATGCTTTTGCTTAACTGATTATCCACCTTGCTAACTTAGCACTTGAAATAAATTTAAGCACTCAATTAGGCGTGAGATCAGATATACATGATCATATATAGAGTTTCTCTTTACCATGAGTAATTAAGGTGCTTTACATTGTACCTTCACAACTATCAGCTAGTATATATCAGAGTGAGCTAATTGCGACGGATGTGCTCCTAGCCTTACCAAATAGCTTCCCAGTGTTTTATGAGACTATACTTGTAGATAGATAGATAGATATATTAGGACATGTACCAAGGAAGGCTACCCCGTGATGAGCCTTCACATGTCCTCCAATGTGACTTAGTCTATTATGTCATGAATCAAATCCAATCTTAATTCCTGACACAAGATAAAATAGAAATTAAATTCAGCTATCCAATAATGAGTCACATTCTAAATGCAACTAAGATATTAACTAAGTGTCATATACAAAACAGAGAATTCTAGAAGAAAACCTTGGCAAATTACCCATCAATGGGAAACCAACAAGAATCCCATAAGCCAAGCTAATGAGAGACAATTCCTTACGCTTAGTAGGAGCATACATAACATCCTACAATATCTATTTGTTTTATGAACTCAACGTGAAGCTACATTCATCGATGCCTAGCACCTCTGCGTAGCACCATCTACATCTTGTTGCTCCTATTTGGAATCTTTTGAAAACTCTATGAACCATTTCTGTCCTATAGATGTGGTTCATGAGTTCTGAGTTTTCTTGGTTCCATGCCTTCAATAATCGACTTGTTTGCACTCATATCAATTGATATTGCTTTTGTTAGTTGGCATTTTCACCTTTTAATTGACTTCTTTTATTTCATAATCCATTCTGAAAATCTCTCAGTGTACCCACTGCAACTAGACTCTCGACCTTGTACCTCTGGTATTCAGCTTCCAAAGCTAAAATAGAAATTTGCCTTAAATGCACCCTAGTGTTTAGACTTCTAATCCACTTTTATTTGCACATTCCCGGATGTTATTGCATTTGTGATGTGTAAGAAAAGTAATAAATGTCTTTCCTGAGTTACGTAAAGCCTTGATAACCGCCCGGATTTGTCACTCCTAGCTCGAAACAGTTCAAGCTATCATAATCCTTAATCATAGATGTTATCATTTGAAGGTGAACATGATGTTTTGACTAGCAATCATTTCATTTGAATCCAACTTAATGATAAGAACGCGAATCCTCATCGAAGTGATATCTGAATCTCAGATTAAGAGCATCACAGGAACTCTTCGCATTCGGATTGTTATCATACTCTTCGATAAAATTGCTTTTCTTTGTATTAAATCTGATGAACCATTTGAACAATCTTTTCGTTTCCAGGTCTTATACTAAGCTGCCTCAAATATTTGAGTCCAAGTTGAACCCTATTTGACTCGGATATTGTTGCTTCGGTACGCACCAAAATCTCTTGTTTTCAAGAGAAAGCGGATCTTTCGATAAAGATGTCTTAGTCCTGGACTGATGTCGGAATTACTATTTTAGTACCTTATTGTTCGCGGTGAAAATCGTCTTCATTGAATTCATTGTCATCTTGAATAACAACTTTTTGAGTTACAAAAGATCCGGTCCTTTTTAGATCCGGTTACAACGAAATCAAAGAAAAAAATAAAAATTACAACTTTCTCCTTTTGAACAAATCGCGAGCTCCTGTTTTGCGGTCGCTCGCTTTGTGTGGGTTCTTTGCCGACGCCGGGGTTAATCCGTGGACCACCGCGCGATCTAGATCCGGTCGGATCTACACGATTCGACGGGTATTATTCCGCAAAGGGAATAATAGCCGGGGAGGATTAGTTCACCAAGGAAATAATCGTCCAAATCTCGGGATCAAAGGCCAAGCTTTGATCCGGAGTGTAGTTTCGTGTAGATCTCAGATCTGAACTTTACCTCTCTCGAACTCCTGCCTTTTGTGACGTGGACGCTCGCCGAGAATCAGATCTGAATCTTCAAGTCCTCAAGTCTTCAAAACTCTGAGCTCGATCTTCAATTCGGCAGAGTTTCGGCTCTCAAAGTTCCAACCTTTTCAAATGAACAACCCATGGCCTATTTATAGGCACCCAGATCTGTGCCCAGGCACAGATCTGGGCTGAGGTGGCTCGGCCACAAGTGGCCGGCCACCCCTAGGTGGCTCGGCTCATGCCGAGCCACCCTGAAGTGGCTCGGTTTCGGTCGAGCCCCTCAGGGTGTTTGGGTTCCGTCGTTTTGTCCGTTGTTCCCGTTTTATCGGTTGACTTAGACTCTGATTTGTTGATCTGATTTGGCAGTAGATCCGATTCCTGATTAGGCAGTAAATCCACTTCTGAGTTCGAGTCCGAAACCGACCTGATTTGGCAGTAAATCTGCTTCTGAGTTCGAGTCCGAAACTGATCTTGATTCGATCGTGATTCGTCCGAGTCTGTTCTCGGTTGGATGACTCGTTGATTCCTTAATTCGTTAGCTTGATTCTGCACGCGGGTGGATTCATTCCGTTGTTCGCGTGCGATTTGTCGATCTCGTCGCCTCGTTGGTTCATCGGTTTGTGTCGAGCTGAGCTAAGGGACCTATAAGCAATTTTATATGCCTACAGATACCCCCTCCAAAGTATTTCAGCCTCGTTCTTTTATAGAAGAGTCTGGAATACTTTGGATATGATTGTCCCAACCTTCAGGCGGTATAACGGGACTTTGGAATGGCTTCTGTTCTTGATTCCTTCAATCTTCCAGGCTATTCGGTGCTTTGTCGAATGTCTGTAAGAGTTTCGGTGCTGCATTTATTGTCTGGTCGTTGTCGGAATTTTGAACTTGAAGTCGACTCCTGATTTTCTAATCTTTAGTTGACCATCGATTGTTGGCGCTGAGTTTTTATTCGCGACGCGTTGTCCGGCGTAGTGTTGTTGAGTTATCCTTAAGA